GAGCCAACAGGACTGTTCTCTTTAACATAAACATTGATCACAGGCTCCATGAAGCGAGGTGCATTATCATTGACATCAGAAACATGAACAGTAATGACCCTGATACTGGACAGAGGTGGACTTCCCTCATCTGTGGCTGTAATAGTGACATTGTAAAGAGAAGTGTTTTCTCTGTCCAGTGGTCCATCTACGACTAATGAATAGTCATTTTTGTAGTTGGACTTGAGTTTAAAGGGAACAGACCCAACTACCTTACAGTTAGTTACACCATTGTTCCCTCCATCTTTATCACTGACTGTAACCAAAGCAACTATTGTCCCCAGTTCTGCGTCTTCTTTAACTGGGGTCATGAGTGACGTCACAGATATTTCTGGGGCATTGTCATTCACATCAATTATCTCTGTCAGCAGTTTTGCATATGCACTACGAGGGGAAATACCCTGATCCATTGCTTGAACTCTGACCTCATAAGCAGGCGTCTCTTCATAGTCTAATGTTCCCTTCACAGTGATTTCTCCTGTTTCTGAATTAAGATCAAACATATTTGATGGATTCGCATTTCCTCTTTTGATAAAAGAATACAGGATCTTACTGTTCATGCCTTCGTCTAAATCGGTTGCATTTAACTTAATAACGAGTGTTCCGGGGGTGGCATTTTCATTGACACGCGCCTTGTAAAGAGATTTACTAAACACTGGTGTATTGTCATTAACATCTATAACATTCACAGTTAACTGCAATGTACCCGATCTCGGAGGTTTTCCTCCATCCACAGCTGTCAGGAGGAGTTTGATTACTGGCTGTTTCTCTCTGTCTAAAGCTTTCTGCAGCACCAACTCAGCAGACACACCGTGTTCTCCACCGCTCTGCACATCAAGAGCGAAATATTCATTCTGGCTCAGCTTGTAGCTCTTTACCGAGTTGCTGCCTATGTCTGCATCTTCCGCTATTGGCAGAAAATATCGCTCTCCCGGTGACACTGATTCTGAGATATTAAATAAATGCGAGTGTTCAGTGAAAACAGGCGAGTTATCATTTATATCTACAACATTAACTTCAATACGATGTGCAGTCATTGGATTGTTTAAAACGGCCTGTAATTTCAAGGAGCATTTTACCGTGTTAGGACAAAACTCCTCTCTGTCTATTCTGTCGTCAACAAAGAGGTTCCCGGCCCGCAAATTCACATCAAAATATTTCTTACTGTAACCCGATACAATTTGGAGGTCTCTGTTCTCTAGATCTTGGACATTGATGTTCAAATCCTTTGCGATATTCCCCACCACGGTGCCTTTGTTCACCTCCTCGGAGATGGAGTAAGATAACTGAGAGACAGACCAGTCGCAAAGACAAAGCAGCGTAACAATGTGAATCCAGGCGTGTTCCTTTTGTCGTCGCACATACATCCTGGGTGCAATAAAAGACCTGATCCGAGTCGATCATTAATCCACAGTATAGGTAATTCCTTCAAAAGCAAATCGCTCTGTGAAAGCTCCAGCCTTTCTCGCTACAACACCATCGAGTGCCTGGGAGGTTATAATGGCTGATGACGATTTCATTTTTACCATCCATGGAGGAGGAGTTCTAGATAAACAGAAACATTCAGATCTATGGTCTCCAGTGACATCTTGTGGTGAATCTTAGGTAATTTTGACTTGTACTTTGTCAGATAATTTCCAATAGTTTTCCACAAACATTTTTCGCAGGGCTACAAATGCAATAACCTCGCATGATGATTGGCCTCAAACCGTGAACAACCCACATATACACGTATTAATACCAGTGTTTAGCATTTGAGCACAAAGCTGAATATTCAGAGTGTACCAGCCAAGTATTTATTGACATTTTCAAAGCCAGACAAGTCACCTCAAACTTAAAAAAACAATCAATAAATTTAAGAAATCAAAGATTAAAACAATTTCTCACGGAGTTGAAATACAACATGAAGTTATTTTTTAAAGAAATGCTAATAATAACAGTAACAATGACACATTAAATGCGCTTCTTTTTTAATTAAGACGACGCAGAAAACCTATTTTACGAGACTGACGTCAGTGGCACGGAGAGCGCCATTTCATAAAATGTTGAATTCTGAGGAGCTATTTTACCTCAATGTTACAATTTTATTTCAGGGCACACTGACAGTGACACCAAAGATCGTTACGTTCAGCACAATGAGAGGCTGTCTCAGTGCGAGTAACGACCTACTGACGTCACTTTGCTCTAATGTTAAGATTTTCCCCGAGGATATAGAGGAGCAAGCTCAGGGTTTAGTGGTGTTGAAGCCCGAGGGTCCAGAAACTTAATTCAGCACCATGGTCAGCGCCGTTGTCACTTCAGCGTCACTAAATGAGATATTTTTAGAAAAGCTTTTCAAACGACTCTCTTAACTTCGCCACACCACCAGCTAAAACTCATAAGACCAACCTGGTCATTTGGACATTTCTAAGACTAAGATGTTATGGAAAATAGTAGCCTAAATTATATATTTTTTGTGTGGATCTAGGGAAATGCCTAGGTTAAAAATGAGAGCAAACAAAATGGAACAAATACAGACAGTACTACGAGTTCAGCTGCTACTTTCAGCTGTAGTACAGTAAGTTGATCTACATTAATGCTTGAAATTTCCATGAAATAGAGCAGCATTGACTTATGTTCATCCAGGCTTGCATAAAATGGTAGGCCTAAATCAAAGTGCATGGTGGAACTCATAAAAAGTCAAATAGTATAATTACATTTCAATTAATGTGATTTTAAACCCCAAACAATTACTGAAGCATCGACTGCAATGTATAGCCTACCTTTTCTTTGTTGGGTAAAGTCTGGGTTCTGGTAAAAGTGTCTCCTCCATTAATACTGATCAGCTCAGCATCAACAGGCGGAAACGGTGCGGGGAAAACCACTACGTCACTCTTGAGTGTGTCTGAGCTGAAACACACGTCATACTGCTGAGTAGCTTTGGAGTAAGACCAGCTCCCGTCAGGGTGGGTGGTGATCATTGGGGCGCTGTACCTGCTGAAAGTGCCGTCTGTCCTGTGGCATTTGACAGCTATTAAACTGATGAGGCTGAGCAGAAAGATGACTGACACCGACACAATGGCGATCAGCAGATAGAGGTTCAGCGCAGAGAAGCTGTCCTCCTTTATGGGCACATGTCTGAACTGAGTCTGGATGTCAGCTGTGCTCTCAACCACCACCACCTCAATAGACACAGTAGCTGACAGGGAGGGTTCTCCGTTATCAGACACCAACACCACCAAGGGGTGAGTTTTCAGGTCATTGTCACTCATTCTCCTCTTAGTCCTGATTTCTCCGGTGCTGGTTCCGATGCGGAAGAGGTTGTTTCCTTTGGGCTCAGAGAGGTGATAAGAGAGCAGCGCATTGTATCCAGAGTCTGCGTCTACAGCCCTGATCTTTGCCACAAAGTATCCCGCTTCAGCAGAATAGGGGATGCTCTCACTGTTAACGGAGCCGTGCTCAGAATATGGCGCGAGAATTGTTGGATTATTGTCATTTTCATCCAGGATTAAAACGTTGACAGTCACATTGCTGCTGAGCGGAGGAACACCAGAGTCTGTGGCCTGAACTTTAAACTGAAACGTTTTCAACTCCTCATAGTTAAAAGACTGCAGGCTGACTATATCTCCAGTCTCTGAGTTGATGTTTAAAATGGATGACACCGGAATATTTTTTGGATTAGCATCTAACAATTTGTAAGTCAGTTTTGCATTACTGTCCAAATCAGGATCAAAGGCATTTATTGTATGGATAACAGAGCCAACAGGACTGTTCTCTTTAACATAAACATTGATCACAGGCTCCATGAAGCGAGGTGCATTATCATTGACATCAGAAACATGAACAGTAATGACCCTGATACTGGACAGAGGTGGACTTCCCTCATCTGTGGCTGTAATAGTGACATTGTAAAGAGAAGTGTTTTCTCTGTCCAGTGGTCCATCTACGACTAATGAATAGTCATTTTTGTAGTTGGACTTGAGTTTAAAGGGAACAGACCCAACTACCTTACAGTTAGTTACACCATTGTTCCCTCCATCTTTATCACTGACTGTAACCAAAGCAACTATTGTCCCCAGTTCTGCGTCTTCTTTAACTGGGGTCATGAGTGACGTCACAGATATTTCTGGGGCATTGTCATTCACATCAATTATCTCTTTCAGCAGTTTTGCATATGCACTACGAGGGGAAATACCCTGATCCATTGCTTGAACTCTGACCTCATAAGCAGGCGTCTCTTCATAGTCTAATGTTCCCTTCACAGTGATTTCTCCTGTTTCTGAATTAAGATCAAACATATTTGATGGATTCGCATTTCCTCTTTTGATAAAAGAATACAGGATCTTACTGTTCATGCCTTCGTCTAAATCGGTTGCATTTAACTTAATAACGAGTGTTCCGGGGGTGGCATTTTCATTGACACGCGCCTTGTAAAGAGATTTACTAAACACTGGTGTATTGTCATTAACATCTATAACATTCACAGTTAACTGCAATGTACCCGATCTCGGAGGTTTTCCTCCATCCACAGCTGTCAGGAGGAGTTTGATTACTGGCTGTTTCTCTCTGTCTAAAGCTTTCTGCAGCACCAACTCAGCAGACACACCGTGTTCTCCACCGCTCTGCACATCAAGAGCGAAATATTCATTCTGGCTCAGCTTGTAGCTCTTTACCGAGTTGCTGCCTATGTCTGCATCTTCCGCTATTGGCAGAAAATATCGCTCTCCCGGTGACACTGATTCTGAGATATTAAATAAATGCGAGTGTTCAGTGAAAACAGGCGAGTTATCATTTATATCTACAACATTAACTTCAATACGATGTGCAGTCATTGGATTGTTTAAAACGGCCTGTAATTTCAAGGAGCATTTTACCGTGTTAGGACAAAACTCCTCTCTGTCTATTCTGTCGTCAACAAAGAGGTTCCCGGCCCGCAAATTCACATCAAAATATTTCTTACTGTAACCCGATACAATTTGGAGGTCTCTGTTCTCTAGATCTTGGACATTGATGTTCAAATCCTTTGCGATATTCCCCACCACGGTGCCTTTGTTCACCTCCTCGGAGATGGAGTAAGATAACTGAGAGACAGACCAGTCGCAAAGACAAAGCAGCGTAACAATGTGAATCCAGGCGTGTTCCTTTTGTCGTCGCACATACATCCTGGGTGCAATAAAAGACCTGATCCGAGTCGATCATTAATCCACAGTATAGGTAATTCCTTCAAAAGCAAATCGCTCTGTGAAAGCTCCAGCCTTTCTCGCTACAACACCATCGAGTGCCTGGGAGGTTATAATGGCTGATGACGATTTCATTTTTACCATCCATGGAGGAGGAGTTCTAGATAAACAGAAACATTCAGATCTATGGTCTCCAGTGACATCTTGTGGTGAATCTTAGGTAATTTTGACTTGTACTTTGTCAGATAATTTCCAATAGTTTTCCACAAACATTTTTCGCAGGGCTACAAATGCAATAACCTCGCATGATGATTGGCCTCAAACCGTGAACAACCCACATATACACGTATTAATACCAGTGTTTAGCATTTGAGCACAAAGCTGAATATTCAGAGTGTACCAGCCAAGTATTTATTGACATTTTCAAAGCCAGACAAGTCACCTCAAACTTAAAAAAACAATCAATAAATTTAAGAAATCAAAGATTAAAACAATTTCTCACGGAGTTGAAATACAACATGAAGTTATTTTTTAAAGAAATGCTAATAATAACAGTAACAATGACACATTAAATGCGCTTCTTTTTTAATTAAGACGACGCAGAAAACCTATTTTACGAGACTGACGTCAGTGGCACGGAGAGCGCCATTTCATAAAATGTTGAATTCTGAGGAGCTATTTTACCTCAATGTTACAATTTTATTTCAGGGCACACTGACAGTGACACCAAAGATCGTTACGTTCAGCACAATGAGAGGCTTCTTCAGTACAAGTAACAACCTACTGACGTCACATTGCCCAAAAGTTAAGACTTTTCCCGAAGGCATAGAGGACCAGGCTCAAGGTTTAGGGATATGAAAGCCCGAGGTTGCGGGAACTTAATTCAGTACCATGGTCAGCGCCGTCTGAAGTCAGACAGAAGTGTCATCATTTCAGTCTCCCTGAGTATGTTCCGAGAGGATTTTCAAACGACTCTCTTCACTTCTACACATCGCCCAATAAGATGCGAAGGAATAACTTGGCTATTTGAATATTGCTGAGACGCAGATGTTTTGAAAAATGGTAGCCTTAATTACATATTTTGGTGCGTGTTACTAGGGAAATTCATAGGTTAAAGACGAGAGCAAACAAAATTCTGAAAGAACTACGAGTTCAGCTGCTACTTTTGGCTGTAGTAAAGTAATTTGATCTCCATTAACGCTGGTAATTAGCATTGACTTCACATTCACCAAGGCTTGCATACAATGGTATAACAAAGTGCATGCTGGTAGTCATAAAAAAGCCACATCATATAATTACATTTCAGTTAAAGTGATTTTCAACCCCACACAATTACTGAAGCATCGACTGAAAAGTATAGCCTACCTTTTCTTTGTTGGGTAAAGTCTGAGTTCTGGTAAAAGTGTCTCCTCCATTAATACTGATCAGCTCAGCATCTACAGGCGGATACGGTGCGGGGAAAACCACTACGTCACTCTTGAGTGTGTCTGAGCTGAAACACACGTCATACTGCTGAGTAGCTTTGGAATAAGACCAGCTCCCGTCAGGGTGGGTGGTGATCATTGGGGCGCTGTACCTGCTGAAAGTGCCGTCTGTCCTGTGGCATTTGACAGCTATTAAACTGATGAGGCTGAGCAGAAAGATGACTGACACCGACACAATGGCGATCAGCAGATAGAGGTTCAGCGCAGAGAAGCTGTCCTCCTTTATGGGCACATGTCTGAACTGAGTCTGGATGTCAGCTGTGCTCTCAACCACCACCACCTCAATAGACACAGTAGCTGACAGGGAGGGTTCTCCGTTATCAGACACCAACACCACCAAGGGGTGAGTTTTCAGGTCATTGTCACTCATTCTCCTCTTAGTCCTGATTTCTCCGGTGCTGGTTCCGATGCGGAAGAGGTTGTTTCCTTTGGGCTCAGAGAGGTGATAAGAGAGCAGCGCATTGTATCCAGAGTCTGCGTCTACAGCCCTGATCTTTGCCACAAAGTATCCCGCTTCAGCAGAATAGGGGATGCTCTCACTGTTAACGGAGCCGTGCTCAGAATATGGCGCGAGAATTGTTGGATTATTGTCATTTTCATCCAGGATTAAAACATTGACAGTCACGTTGCTGCTGAGCTGAGGAACACCAGAGTCTGTGGCCTGAACTTTAAACTGAAACGTTTTTAACTCCTCATAATTAAAGGCCTGCAGGCTGACTATATCTCCAGTCTCTGAGTTGATGTTCACAACTGATGACACAGGAATATTTTTTGGATTAGCATCTAATAATTTGTAAGTCAGTTTTGCATTACTGTCCAAATCAGGATCAAAGGCATTTATTGTATGGATAACAGAGCCAACAGGACTGTTCTCTTTAACATAAACATTGATCACAGGCTCCATGAAGCGAGGTGCATTATCATTGACATCAGAAACATGAACAGTAATGACCCTGATACTGGACAGAGGTGGACTTCCCTCATCTGTGGCTGTAATAGTGACATTGTAAAGAGAAGTGTTTTCTCTGTCCAGTGGTCCATCTACGACTAATGAATAGTCATTTTTGTAGTTGGACTTGAGTTTAAAGGGAACAGACCCTACTACCTTACAGTTAGTTACACCATTGTTCCCTCCATCTTTATCACTGACTGTAACCAAAGCAACTATTGTCCCCAGTTCTGCGTCTTCTTTTACTGGGGTCATGAGTGACGTCACAGATATTTCTGGGGCATTGTCATTCACATCAATTATTTCTATTAGTAGTTTAGAATGTGCACTACGAGGAAATGTGCCTTGATCCCTTGCTTGAACTCTGACCTCATAAGCAGGCGTCTCTTCATAATCTAATGTTCCCTTCACAGTGATTTCCCCTGTTTCTGAATTTAGATCGAACATATTTGACGGATCAATATTTCCTCGTTTGATTAATGAATACAGGATCTTACTGTTCATGCCCTCGTCCAGATCTGTTGCATTCAACCTTATCACCACTGTTCCATGTGCAGCATTTTCATGCACACGCGCCTTATAAAGTGATTTGCTAAAAATCGGCGAATTATCATTGACATCTAAAACGTTTACATTTATCTGTAATGTACCCGATCTCGGAGGTTTTCCTCCATCCACAGCGGTCAGAATTAGTTTAAGAACCGGCTGTTTCTCTCTGTCTAAAGCTTTCTGTAGCACTAGCTCAGCAGACACACCGTGTTCTCCACCGCTCTGCACATCGAGAGCAAAATATTCATTTGTGCTCAGCTTGTAGCTCTTTACTGAATTACTGCCTATGTCTGCGTCTACTGCTATGGGAAGAAGATATCGTTCTCCCGGTGACACTGTTTCGGATATGTTTAAAGAAAACGAGTGTTCAATGAATGCTGGCGAGTTATCATTTATATCTAAAACACTGACCTCTATGCGGTGTACATTCATTGGATTGCTTAAAACGGCCTGTATTCTTAGAGAGCATTGTACCGTGCTCGGACAAAGCTCCTCTCTGTCTGTCCTCTCATCAACAAAGATGTTCCCGGTGCGCAAATTCACGTCAAAATATTCCTTACTGTAAGTCGAAACAATACGTAGATCCCTGGATTCTAGGTCTTGTACATTCAAGTTCAAATCCTTTGCAATATTCCCCACTACGGTGCCTTTGTTCACCTCCTCGGAAATGGAGTAAGATAACTGCGAAGCAGACCCGTCACAAAGACACAGCAGCGCAACGATATGAATCCAGGCATATTCCTCGTTTCCCATCGCTGAACCATAAACAATGAATCCCGTTTATCATGTATTTCGAGATGATGTATATATCCGTCATAAACGCGATTATCCAGCAGCAGCCACAGCCTTTCTCCCCGCAGTACAATCCCACTGTCTCTAAACTGATGGCCAGTGACGATTTAAGGTTTCCCGTGCAGGGAGGAGTTTTACACATACGCATATTCTCACAATCATAGCTGCGGTCTCCAGCGACATCATGTGGTAAAAGACGGATAAGTCAAGATAAATCTAAGTAACACAGAGCCCAGTGATTTACAGTATCATAAAAGATGTGCTTCTTCAACTGTTGACGTATAAATTGAATTAAGTGTCTGGAAACAAAGTTAAACAAAACAAAACAAAACAAAAGTATGGCATGTAGTAATGTCCGTGTTCAAAAGCAAATCTATAAGTTTCAGGAGCCATTCAAGGGTACAACAAAATCCCAGTGATCCCCGCCAAAAAGCTACATTTATTTCAGGGATTTTCAGGCAAAAGTTTACATACCATAACTGATTAACTTGTTTATCAGTCAAGCAGCGATCCTCTTAAAGAATACAAAGGCAATACTGTCAAGAAAGATCCAGAGAGCCTACAGAATTCCAAAATTACATAGACTCATTTCAGCACAACGGAAAGAGCTTTAAATTCAGGGTGTAAAGTGCAACGATCCAGTTTACTGATGAGCTGTTCAGAGCCCATAATATCAAACAACCTGTTTTCAAAGACCGCCATCTCAAAACATTAAAATATGGGCATGGATGCTCATTCTTTCAGGTGATACAAAATTGATAACTGGATTCCATCACTGATGGGAATGTTTTTCCCCTATTAATTTATAAACTACAATATGTGCTTAAGTGAACAGCGCCAAATGGCTCTATATCAACTGGGGAGCTATTACTACTTTTTATTACTTTGTTTTAAGGTTTTGTTGACTTCTACATACACTAAAATGCCATCGCAAAATATATGCATCATGTCAATCATAAACTGAAAGCACGCTATAAAAACTAAACCTATAAACACCTGTTTTCTTTTTTTCCCCTTACTTCCTATTTTACCAGTTTATGGTAATGTTGTTGTGTGTTTACACCTATGTCACTCTCAAACGTTTTACTGCATAAATAAATAAATACAAAAATAAATGAAATTAGAAATTTCTTTCTTTTTCAAATGTGCAGACCCAATGGAAAGCTATGTCATGGGTAGGACCACTTAGTCAAAAGTACATGAGTTCAAGCATGTGCCAAAGACTGAGGCACGCAGAGAGATTTCAGCACCACGGAGAGCACCTTTTCTATCATACAATATCAGACAGCATAAAACTGTGGATGTATGTCTGCCAGACTTTTAATACTGTGAGTTAGTAATAAAAAATTGCCACTACCAATGATAAATGGGAGCACGTTTGCCTTCAATTAAAGCAACTAAAGCTGTACATGAAAAAAACAAAATATGCACTGGTTAATAATGTTATTTCTTAATGGCTCTTACCTTTTCTTTGTTGGGTAAAGTCTGAGTTCTGGTAAAAGTGTCTCCTCCGTTAATACTGATCAGCTCCGCATCTATAGGCGGAAACGGTGCGGGGAAAACAACTACGTCACTCTTGAGTGTGTCTGAGCTGAAACACACGTCATACTGCTGAGTAGCTTTGGAGTAAGACCAGCTCCCGTCAGGGTGGGTGGTGATCATTGGGGCGCTGTACCTGCTGAAAGTGCCGTCTGTCCTGTGGCATTTGACAGCTATTAAACTGATGAGGCTGAGCAGAAAGATGACTGACACCGACACAATGGCGATCAGCAGATACAGGTTCAGCGCAGAGAAGCTGTCCTCCTTTATGGGCACATGTCTGAACTGAGTCTGGATGTCAGCTGTGCTCTCAACCACCACCACCTCAATAGACACAGTAGCTGACAGGGAGGGTTCTCCGTTATCAGACACCAACACCACCAAGGGGTGAGTTTTCAGGTCATTGTCACTCATTCTCCTCTTTGTCCTGATTTCTCCGGTGCTGGTTCCGATGCGGAAGAGGTTGTTTCCTTTGGGCTCAGAGAGGTGATAAGAGAGCAGCGCATTGTATCCAGAGTCTGCGTCTACAGCCCTGATCTTTGCCACAAAGTATCCCGCTTCAGCAGAATAGGGGATGCTCTCACTGTTAACTGAGCCGTGCTCTGAATATGGCGCGAGAATTGTTGGATTATTGTCATTTTCATCCAGGATTAAAACGTTGACAGTCACGTTGCTGCTGAGCGGAGGAACACCAGAGTCTGTGGCCTGAACTTTAAACTGAAACGTTTTTAACTCCTCATAGTTAAAAGACTGCAGGCTGACTATATCTCCAGTTTCTGAGTTGATGTTTACAACAGTTGAAATGGGAAAACCTTTGGGATGATTATCCATCAATGAATAAGTTAATTTAGCATTTTCATCTGCATCAGCATCTTGTGCAGTTGTTCTTGCTATAACGTCCCCCACTTTACTATTCTCCCTGACGTAAATTCTTATATTGGCTTCTGGGAAACGGGGTGCGTTGTCATTAATGTCAGAAATGTCCACAGTGATTACAGCAGTGCTAGAAAGAGGCTGACTACCTTCATCAGTAGCAGTAATGGTTACATTGTACTGTGACACAGTCTCTCTATCAAGGGGACCGTCAACTGTTAAAGAGTAATAGTTTTTGTAGTTTGACGTCAATGTAAAGGGAACCGAGTCTTTAATTTTACAAGCGGTAACGCCATTTTTCCCTCCATCTTTATCAGTCACAGTCACCAATGCAACAACAGTTCCAATTTCAGCACTTTCCTTTACTGGACTCATTAGTGAGGTTATAGATATTTCCGGTGCATTGTCATTGACATCAACAACCTCGACCAGCACTTTAGAATAACCACTGCGAGGGGACATGCCCTGGTCTGTTGCTTGTACTCGTAATTCATATGCATTACTTTCCTCGTAATCCAAATTAGCCTTCACAGTGATTTCACCGCTTTCAGGGCTAACAATGAATTTTTCAGAGTTCACATTTCCTCTTTTCATTAAAGAATACCTGATGTCTGAATGTGGACCTTCGTCTAAATCAGTTGCATTTAGTTTCAATATTATTGTACCAATGGGTGAATTTTCTTTTACTCTTACTTTATAAAGCGGTTTGCTAAAGGAAGGGGTGTTATCATTTGAGTCTATCACATTCACAAGAATCTGCATTGTGCCAGAGCGTGCTGGTTTTCCTCCGTCTACAGCGGTTAATGTTAGTTTAATAGTGGGTTGTTTCTCTCGGTCTAAAGCTTTCTGCAGCACTAACTCAGCAGAGGCACTGTCTCCTCCGCTGCTCACGTCTACGGAGAAATGCTCGTTTGGACTTAACTTGTAGGTTTTCACTGAATTACTGCCGGTGTCTGCATCCTGAGCTACCGGGAGCGGATACCGCTCCCCCGTTGAAGACGACTCGGAGATATTAAACACATGGGTTTGCTCGGGGAATGATGGCGCATTATCATTGATGTCAAGAATACTGACCTCGATGCGATAAATATTCATAGGATGGCTCAGTAGTCCCTCTATATTTAAAGAACACTTAGGTAGATTCGGACAAAGCTCCTCACGGTCTATCCTTTCGTTAACAACCAAAGCTCCTGTTCTTGAATTAGCCTCGAAATATTTCTTACTGTATCCCGATACAATCCGAAATCCCCGTTCCTCCAGTTGCTGTGTGTGAATGTTTAAATCCTTAGCGAGATTCCCCACCACTGTGCCTTTGTCCACCTCCTCGGAAATGGAGTAGGAAATCTGAGCAGCAGACCAGTGAGATAAACAAAGGAGAATGGCGCACAACATCCATTCGGCCTCTCTGTTCCGTTGACGACTCATCCTTTTGTATTGATGAGGAATTCAAGCAAAAAAACGTCATTCATCCATAAAATCGGGAAATTATCCACAGGACAGCCAAACTCCGATCATACACAGACCATCTTTCAAGACGAAGTGATTTACTAACCCAGCCCCTCCGAAACGTACAGCCTGTTTCTTTCACCGATAGGAGAGGAGGAGTTTTAGGTTATTAATGACCACACAGTTGAATGCGTGGTCTCGAGCGACATCTTGCGTTCTTTTGTTAGACCACAGTGGATTTTTACTAACCACATCTCATGTGTTTGTGTATTTTCTTAAAGGATATAGTGTATTATTGATGACCGGGTTCCGTGAAGCATCATGTTTGTTAGTTGCAAAAACAACGGGTGAGTATAAGAACAGATGAAGAGGCCACGTTTTTGGAGACACAATTAACCAGAGAAGAATCCTATAACTAGGAAGAGGGAAACTGTATTGTAAAGTGACAAGTGAATTAATAAATGAACATATGACTGACAGTTATATGACTGTTCCTAGCTCTTGCTGTTTAACATATTTAGGCCTAGTAATATACGCCTACAACTGAAACTATTAAAAAATGTTTTGCGGTTTTATAGAAAAAGATTATTTTCTTTTTTTTCCCTTTTTATTATGATTATTGTTTTTTTTAATGTGCAGACGCATCGACAAGCTATGGCACGTGTAATTCAAGCCATTCATATATTAAGTAAATTATGTGAAAGACTGATGCGGCAAGCACACAGAGAGATATCAGCACCATGGAGAGCACCTTTCCCAACAAGCAGAATAAGAGAGCATTTATTCTGTGGATGTGTGCAATCTATCAGACTTTTTATATTGCCAGAGAGTTGATAATAATTCGCTACTATCAGTGACAAACATAACCACATTTGCCTTCAATACAAGCAGCTTAAGCTATACATGACAGACAAAATATGGACTGATTAATGATGTCCGTTCCTTGTAGCTCTTACCTTTTCCTTACTGGGTAAAGTCTGAGTTCTGGTAAAAGTATCCCCTCCGTTAATACTGATCAGCTCCGCATCTACAGGCGGAAACGGTGCGGGGAAAACCACTACGTCACTCTTGAGTGTGTCCGAGCTGAAACACACGTCATACTGCTGAGTAGCTTTGGAGTAAGACCAGCTCCCGTCAGGGTGGGTGGTGATCATTGGGGCGCTGTACCTGCTGAAAGTGCCGTCTGTCCTGTGGCATTTGACAGCTATTAAACTGATGAGGCTGAGCAGAAAGATGACTGACACCGACACAATGGCGATCAGCAGATACAGGTTCAGCGCAGAGAAGCTGTCCTCCTTTATGGGCACATGTCTGAACTGAGTCTGGATGTCAGCTGTGCTCTCAACCACCACCACCTCAATAGACACAGTAGCTGACAGGGAGGGTTCTCCGTTATCAGACACCAACACCACCAAGGGGTGAGTTTTCAGGTCATTGTCACTCATTCTCCTCTTAGTCCTGATTTCTCCGGTGCTGGTTCCGATGCGGAAGAGGTTGTTTCCTTTGGGCTCAGAGAGGTGATAAGAGAGCAGCGCATTGTATCCAGAGTCTGCGTCTACAGCCCTGATCTTTGCCACAAAGTATCCCGCTTCAGCAGAATAGGGGATGCTCTCACTGTTAA